ACTTTGGACTCACCAAAATAGGATAAATAATGGAGTATTTTCTCTGAATCTGTCAAATGTTAACGGACTAGACATTGTTAATGTAATTCTTGACTATATATATTGTATATAGTTAGTGTGCTTGTTGTATATAGTTTTTCTTAGTTATAACTGTCTTCTATTATTTTAGACAAAAAAGGGAAAATGTGGTGATATATTGTTTGTAATCCAGGAAATAAAGCTTGCCTGAAGATCAGAGGTCAGAACAAGCCACTAGATTAAACATAGAGGCCAGGCAGTGGTAGCTCTCAGGAGGCAGAGGCAGAGATCCATCTGGATTTCTGTGAGTTCAAGGCCACACTGGGTTACACGAGATTAATCCAGTCTAAAAGAGAAACAGAGCCAGGCAGTGGTAGCACACACCTTTAATTCTAGCACTTGGGATCACACCCTTAATCCCAGCACTAGGAAGGTTGAGACAGGAAGTGATATGGCTGGACAGAGAAAGGAATAAAGGCAGAAGGAGACAGGAACTCACACTTTTTCAGGCTGAGGAGTTGGTGAAGTAAGAGGTGGTGGCTGTGGCTTGCTCTGCTTCTCTGATCTCTCAGCTTTCACCCTGATATCTGGCTCTGGGTTTTTATCATAAGACCATTTAGGATTCGTGCAACCAATGCCCTCTTCAAACTTCCAAGGGCACCAGACACGGACATGAGCAAAATGCTCACACACATTAAAGGAAAACTCCCCACCTCCCACAAGCTGGCTCCTGCTTCCTTCACCAACCAGACAATATACTCAGACAAAACAAAGGACAGCATTTACAAGCTCTCTAGAAACACCAGGAAATTCTCAATCCTATAATTGGTCACGGCATTTCTTTGAATTCTAACATCCTCTCTCAATTCTACAAATCCAAATTCTAACTAGCTCAAATGCCTTCCCAGGAGCCTTCTATTCTTTCCAGGAGCCTCAACTCAAAGTCCTTATTACCGCTTCTCGCTCTTTTTGCTTGTTTTTTAAATAAACATCTTAAAGGCCTTTCTCTTAGAGCTACTCCTCATCTCCTCAGATAAACTGTCCATTCCTTACAGCAAACACATTCATTTTAATCCCTCCTTGCTTCTTGGCACATGTGGTTGAAGCTCTTGATTAAATCGTATACGGCAATAGCACAGTGTAAGTTAAGAACACAGACAATGAAGACAGAATAGTTGATTCTGAATTTTAACTTGGCTATTCATTAGTTGTGCGTCCTTGAACTATGCGTCTGTGTGTGTGTGTGTGTGTGTGTGTGTGTGTGTGTATATGTGTGTATGTATATATATATATATATATATATATATATATATATCACTTCTTAGGGTATCAAACTGCTTTATATTTTGTGATAGTTATGTAAAGCTTCACTACAAAGCAAAATTTAAAAAAAAAATCAAACATAAAGCCAAAGTTTAAGTAAAAATAGGTATATGCAAATTCTCCTTAAATTGTCTTATCTGTGACTTCTTAAGACACATTTTTGCTATATTTACTTACTTGGTGTATGCATGTGCTTGCCCAGGCCATGGTTCACATGTGGATGCCAGAGGACAAGCCATGGGAGTCAGTTCTCTCACTCCATCATGTGGGTCCCAGGAATCAAACACAGGTGACAGGTGCCTTTACCCAGTGAGCCGTCTCCTACATATCTACATATAGCTGTGGCTTTTATATCTACCTTATATTTTGAGGATTTAAGTTTCCTATGGTAATAGCCGCCTGAACTGGTCTGCCTGCCTCAGCTTTCCTCCCATTTGCCACCGTCTTTCTAGAAAGCTAATGTAATGTTTCCCCACTGCTACAGCCCCCCCCCCCCCCATTTTATCCCTTCAGTTTAAACCTCTTTGGATCTCACACAAAGTCGTCCTAAGCCTCCCAGCCCGGTTTCCAGCTTCTCCCAACGCTCACCAGGAAACCCAAATCAGCCAGTTCTATCTCAAAGGCTTTTGTACACCAGGCCCTTTGCCTGCAACGCCAGCTTGTTATTTGCTGGGGCTGCAAGGACAAAACACCACAGACTAGGCAGGTTAAAGAACAGATTCATCTTCTCTTAGTTCGGGGAGCTGCAAGTCCAAAATTGAGGTATCGGATGGAAGGTTTGGTTTTTTCCGAGGCCTCGAACCTTGATAATTTTACAAGCTCCTTCCTATGCAGGTCTATCTTTTTTGTGTCCAGTTTTTTTTTCCCCCTTGTAAGCATACCTGTCAGACTGCATTAGATTCCCTTTTATGGTCTCATTTCAACTCAATCACCTCAGAAGCCCTACTCAAATAGAGATACATTCTGGGGCGATGATTCTGAGAGGGTATATTTGAGCCCATTACAGTTCCTATCCCTTTTCTCTGCCCAAGCTAACTCCCATCTGTTTTTCCAAGACTAGCCCAAGCCTTCCGCTCCTGGCTGATTCAGTGCCCTCTCCACGTTCCCAGTCTCTGTACGCTGCTGTCAAACCGCTCATACAATAACATAACTCTCCTTCTCTTCCAGGATATATTCCTTAACAGTGAAGACTAGAAAATATTTAATAAAGACTTGAAGTAAAAGATAAATATAGGCTCAAATCCTGACTCCATTGTTTCCCTACGAAGGCAGAAAAGTTGCTTAACGTTGAATTTCCATTCTAAATAAAGTAGTTGTAATAATGAACAATTGAATTGCAATAAAACTACTCAGCCATGGTTTTGTTACACAGTTAAGTGCTTAGATGCTGCTGAAGTAAAGGTTTGATGGTGGCTGGTTTGACAGTCACTTCTGCCGTTCAGTAATTAAATGATTTGGGGTATATTTTATATTCTTCTGCTTTAAAATAAAAACCCTGATGGTGCTATTGTGACAATGATATCTAGGTAAACGATTTAGCTGGGTATGCAGCACACTGTATTAGTTCTGTTTCCTATTATTGCTATCACAAGAACAGTGCAGGTCTGAACAGCTATGACTGGACGTTCAATGTGACTGTCCCTTTAATGTCTCAGGCTTCTTTCCAACTAAATATATAATTTAATGAGGCTCAAAAACTGGTCCAGGGCCAGCAAGGTGGCTGAGAGATAAAGGTGCATGTCACCAAGACTGACAACCTGAGTTCCATCTCCAGGACCCACATGGCAGAAAGAGAAAACGGAATCCTACAAGTTGTCCTCTGACCTCCACATGCATTCATGCATGAATGCTCCCAGGCATACATGCGCAGCAACAAACAAACAAACAAACAAACAAACAAATATATAAATGTAATTTTAGAAACTGGTTGCGTGCATGGTAGCACACAACTTTAATTTCAGCGCTCAAAGAGGCAGAGGCAGGCAGATCTCGGTGAGTTCCAGGCCAGCCTGGGCTACATAGTAAAACAGTGTCTCAAAAATAAATAAATAAAAATAAAGCAAGACAAAATAACAACAAAGTCAAAACAGAAAGGGAACCAGACCAATGATACAAATGGGCTGCAGACGGGATGAAAACGAGCATGAACTACGATGCTACCATCTCACATCTCTCCTGTTGGCTTTAACGTATTCTGGGCAGTGAATAAAGAGAAGACAAGTTTTCCTAGTCTCTATGACTATGGATGTTAAGCACTCGTAATCATATATCAATCATATAATAATAATCATAAAACTTGTGAACTTGAAAAGACCTTTGTGGTACATGTCCAATCAATCATTTTTTTTTTTTTTAACGTAAGTACCTCCAGGTGGATGTGGAATGAGCTCTGAGTGTCTTAATGAGCAGGTCTATGCGGGATGAACCTTCAGCAGACAGAGTGTACAATTTGTTCTAAAGTAGGGGTTATGGATTTATCTGTAGCCAAGGGATGATGGAACTAGTACTAGGAAACAATACAAAACATTCTCTTTAGCCATCGGCCTTTAGTGTGAAAGACACCTGCTTCTTAACTTGGAAGCAGGGCGGGTCTAGATTGAACCCTCCACTTGTTACATAAAGTCTTTCGAGCTTCACATTATGAGCAACTGGCTTGTTAAAGTGGTTAAGTTGATGGGGTGTCTGGCAGATTTCAAGTATTCAGCGGTTGGTTCTTCCTTCTCCCATCACATAAATAAAAATGTGAAAGATTGCAAACACCGTCTTTCACATAGCTACGCATGTGAGGGTTAAGTGTCTGAGACTTGTTGGCTATTACTTAATTTTAAAAATAGAAATCGTTGCTGAGATGATAACGTGCTTTTAATCTTGCCCTTCCCACCACCGAGTGTCCTTCACGATTCGTTTTCAAGTGTCACATCACAACCATTAACATGCCATTGGGACATCACTGCAGCTCAGACTGTCAACAGAACAGCAAAGGTTTGACCGTCACAAAATTTTTTTACTAAGGTAGAGCAAGAACTCTTGAGTCCAGTTCATTTTGTTCCGTGGTCCATACAAGCTAGGTGAATCCCCAATGAAAAATTACCATCTTTCCTGATGTAGAAAAATATGCATAAGCAGGTAATTGACTGTGATTTTGTAAAAAGTGTTTGGGACTCAAAAGTGCTGGCACTGAAAAGGACACCTGCCATCCTTATCGCTTCAACCCACTACCTTTTTTTCCCCTTTTTCTTTTAAAAGACATGTGGCGTCTGGCTCCAAATCAATTGCAAAGAAAAGCCTGACACGGAAAGAGCTCTTTCTAATGTCCTCTCTTCCCCTTTACATCACAGATGGCCACCGAGAGCTTAAGGTTTAACGTCCAGACACTAAAGCCATTCATCCTAAAACGAAGGGACTCCAGATGGGTGCTGTCTGGCAGAGGATGGGAAGCTGCCAATCTTCAGAGGTGCTGATGGGGTGAATCCGGAGGCTGGAGCCCAGCTCCCATCACTTTGCACCTACACTTGGGAAACATCCCTTTCCCATCTCGGGGCGGGGTACTCCCGCGAGTGACCTCCGGGGACCGGAGGGACCAAGGGCAGGAAGCCTCCCTCTGCTTTCGGGAGAAGTTGACAAGGGCAAGTTGGAGTCGCGCGCGGGAGGTTACTCACGGGAATGGCCCGGCGTCCTCGCTCCTCCGCCCGCACTCGCTCAGGAAGAACCCCCTAACGCCGCGGCAGCCTGAGAGCAGCAGCCGAAGCTGCCGCTGCCGCTGCCGCAGCTAACCGCCCGGGCGTGGCAGGGACTGGCGGGCGACCTCACATCATCACTCGGCGACCTTGGATCTGCAGTGACGCCGGGTCAATGGCAGCTCCCACCCAGCTAGGGAAGCTAGGAGACCCACTTTCCCAGCAGCCTTCGCGACCCTAGCGCACGGCCCGCCGGGAACTGTAGTTCCCTTTCAGTCCCGCCTACAGCCCGAAGGCCCCACCTCCCTACCGAGCTGGAAGCTGGAGGCGCGGCGGGGCGGAGCGGCGGGCCCCGACCCCGCCGGGGTGGGGCGAATCCCGTCCCGGCCCGTTGCCCCGGGCTAGGGCAGAGGTCCAGGCCAACGGGCCTTGTCGCGGCCGTGCTGCACTTCTGCGCCCTGAGGCCCGCGCTGGAAGCGGGCCTAGTGTTCTTGCCTCGGCTCTCCTCGAGGCAGGTCCCGGGGCTCGCACGCGTCGCCTCCCCTCCGCGCCCGCCGCCTGGAGTCGCTGGCCTTGGTCGCAGCCGAGGTAATGAGGGGAGGCAGGCGGGCAGGGGATGGTGCGCGGACCCGGGTTGGGGGGCACGGGGAGCACAACTCGGTAGGTGCACAGCGGAAGCCTGCCAGGCCAGTCTCGCCGCCGCGGCTCCCCACCCGAGCTGGCGCGACCGGCCGAGCCGTGGCCGGAGTCCCCGCGCGAGCCCGCACCGCGCGTGCCAGCCCTGGGGCCGAGGTGCCCGAGTGCCCAGCGGCGGTGCCAGGGGCAGGAGCCCAGCCGCCGCGGTCCCGCTCCCCTGGCTCTCACCTTTGGTGGTGCACACAGGCCTGGCGACTTCCCAAGCCCGGGAGGACACCCTCTGGCCCCCAGTTCTGTCTGCTCGGAGACTTCGAAGGGACCTTTTCCAAAATTAAATGCCCAGGCGTCGTTTTGTCTTCAGTACCTACATGTGGTCTTGTGTTTTCCTCTCGTGGGTTTGTTGTGTCAAATGTCTTTCCTCCAAACTTGGTGACGGTTTGTGACAGTATCTTCATGGCACAGTGTTTGACACTCCGTAAATATTTGTTGAAACCATGAGTCATGATACTAACTTTGGAAATTTCTACTGAGCTGTGCGCGTCGCTATGATCTTTGTTAAGATTTTATGAGATCTCAAGATCACCTTGAGAATTACAGTAATTTTGAAGCTTAACAAAGAGAATTGGCAGGGTTTTTTGTTTGTTTTTTGTTTTTTGTTTTGTTAGCATTTCTTGAAACAGTAGACTTTTGAATGCCTAGATTAAGTAACTCAAAACCCAACTCCTGTAAGTACGTAGGCCCTTTGGGGTCCGCTTAAAGTGTTAACCTTTCAAATGAAAGGCTATGGATATGCACGTCTATGTTATGGAACAAATTAGATTATTTATAAAGCTTCATTGTAATAGCTTTTTAGGTACCTCTGCAAGGGACTGTACCGAGGTACTTTATGCATTTAGGAGTGCAGGTGTGCATACACACACACACACACACACACACACACACACACACACACACACACACTCATATTTTAAAGACAAGGTCTCACTAGGTAGGTAGCCCTGATTGGCCTAGAACTCAAGAGGACCCGCCTGCTTCTGTCCCAGCCTCTTGAATGCTGGAATTAAAGACATGTTCCATAAAGCCTCAACAAGCTTTTTTCTTTTCTTTTTTTGTTGCTTTTTTTGCTTTTACCTTTTAAAATCATAGTGTAATAGGTAATAGTGAAAACTAACCGAAAATCTTTCACTCCGTTCCTTTGTCAGGTACAACTGCTGCCTTGATCTCAAAATGTCTAACTGTTCATGGTCTGGTATTTCCAAGGCGAAAACTTCTGAGATTAAACCGCCCCACAGAAACAATCCTTTTGGTAGTAACAGTTCTAGAAGATTGTGACCTGAACTTTTTTTCCTCAAATTGTTTCATAGTTTAAAGCAACAAACTCAGTAACAACTTGCTGATACTAAGTGGAAAGGAGGTAGAGAATCACGGTAACCATGGTTATTATTATTAAAATGAAGTTAATCACAGCATCTTTCTGCCTCAGGTAAAGTCAGCAGCTAGAGGACAGGGCACCATGTGGGTTACTGTCTGGTCCATAGTGCCTAAGCCTGTGGCGTGAATACAAACGTCCTGTATGCGGTTTCTTTCATTATTTGGATATCTTCTTAGAACAGATGGATGAAAGCGAGCTTTTACTAGGTCACAGGCTGTGAATATTTTCAGCTATTCTGACAGCACCAGCTTGCTTTCCAGATAAGCCTCAACATTTTGTCTTACCTTGTTGCACGTGTTTTTTTATTTGTTTGGTTTTCCGAGACAGGGTTTTTCTGTGTAGCCCCGGCTGTCCCGGAACTCACTCTGTAGACCAGACTGTCCTCGAACTCACAGAGATCCCTCTGCCTCTGCCTCTGAGTGCCGGGTTTAAAGGCCTGCGACACCACCTGGCTTCCGCTTGTGTTTTACATACAGAGTGTTATATAAAATGTATAGATTCATTTGATCTCGGTCGTCCTGGAGGGTGGGCTGCACGGGAACAGCTTTCTTCACACCCCGCCCGCCACCCCCCACCTGCCTTAAATTGATAGTAACGCTTGGCCGGTGACGAAATAGTCCGAAATTTTCCGGCCCTTCTTTCCCTTTCTCTGCCTTTGGCTGTAGTGGGGACCCTGAGAGAATTCATTTCTTCCCTCAGCAGTGAAATGGATGATGCTTTGTAACCTTTACGGCCTATGAACACTTCCTTTTGTCATTTTTCTTAGCTAGTTGTAGATGCCTTGATCAAATATGGGATTTGACTAAAATGAAGTAGTGAAACCCAGTTTCAAGAGAGGCTGTTGAGAAGGGAGCAACCACTACAAATATTTGCCTTCACTATTGGAGAAGACCCAGAAAATCTTGGTGGTGGTTTTGTAGCTCCTTGAATCTGAAGAAGTTACCATGCTAAAATTCTGACTCTCTTAATGAACATGGACAGGAGTTGTTTGCAAAATAATATGCATCATTTTGTGTCTGTCAGTACATGCTAGGTTGAATACAGTTGAGAACTAAAAATCAAAGTAAAAAGATTCGACCTATGAAAAACGTCATATGAAAACTAAGAAGCCTCTTTTTAAACACATGGCAACAGGAACTCACTCATTTTAGCCCATTGTGAGTCCTGCTTTGTGACTCCTGGTCCCGAGTGAGTGAGTAGGTGATGAGTCAGCAGTCTTTGGAGATTCTCAGTTTACTTGTAAATGGAATCCTTAGAGATTCTGTGGAGTTATTGGTAAGTGGCACCACGTGTATAAAGAGGGTCCAAAGTTACTTCTCTGTAATGCCTTCATGTTTGTTCAGGGCGGAAAAGATAGGAGAGAGGTGGTGTCTTAAGGCTTTGGAGGGAGTAAGAAACTCTGCAGCTTTCTTTCTGCCTTTTGGAGGCCGTTCAGAACAGTGCTATTGAAGATGCCTCAGGGGCGTCAGTGGTCCTGTGTCAATGAGCAGATGCCTAAATACCTGATAAGTTATAGCATCTAGTTCAAGAGTTTATGTAAACCTAAATAATTTTGCTTTTGTTTTTATAGTGGGATATAGCTGCACCTTGAAAATAAAGCAAAAATCTTCGTTGAAATAGATGGAATTTTGTCACTTTCTGTGAACTAAAGCGATTCAATGTCTCTTTTGGTAAGTTTTGTTATAACTTTATACCATCGGAGTTAGTTAGCTCTGGAACAAAAGTCATTCAGGTTTAAGCTCTGAGATGTTTTGACCCAGTGATGTGTGGCCTCGAGGATGTTGTAAACTAATGAGTTTTGTCTTTTTCAAAAGAGGTTCTTCTACACTTTCTTTTTAAATATACTCATTATTACAATTCTTTGTCCCAAACCAATTTTTTCTCGTATATTTTTTTTAGATTCCAATTTTATCTAATAAGCTATGCATTATCTTTTAAAACTTCAAAAAAAAAATCCCTTTTCTAACTTTCCATGTGTCCCAAGGCAGGTAAGATGGCATTTAAAGTAAACCTTTGACTTAATTAGACAAAAAAAATGAATCATTGCATCATGTGAGCTACAGAGGAATATATTTGTATATTAGGTACATGACATCTGCTTTAGGTTAAGTAGCTTGAGGACTTTCTTTCTGCCATATACAATACAGTATTTGAAAAAAGGGTTTTGATGTTAAGACAGTGATCTTGCTCTTTAGAACTGTGGGAGCTTGGCAGGACAGGCAGCAGCATTTGAGTTTGCTCATGGTTGCCGAAAATTAGAGCCAGGGTTCAGACTCAATGCCTGCCATCATCCTACTCCACCAGCCAGGCTGGGAGGTAGGACTCGAAGTTAGGAGACTGCAGTGGCATTATATGGAAAATAGAGAACACATTTTAAGTGTGTATATCTGGAACAGTTATTGAAATGCTTCACTATTTAAAGCAGGGTCGGCAAATGCTTTTTGTAAAGGCCACAGATGTAACATGGCAGTGCTTGTCTGCCCTGGCAGCTCAAAAGCAGCCATCCCCAGTGCGGAAGTGGAAACTAGAACAGCCCAAACCCTGACCACACACCACCATCACTGGTTGACCCCTGTCCGAAAGGAATTTTAAGACTGACACTTTTACATCATTTTGCAAGTGAGAAAAGATGTATGATGCCCTTTTCGTTAGTTCCTTTATCTGAGTGATGAGGACACTGATATTCAGAGTGCTAAATTTAGTGTAAAATAATTAGTAGATTGGCCTAGCCGAAAAACACTAGTTTGATTGTCGAGAAATTTTGGTATATTCTAAAAGAAAGGTTTGTTTACTTTGAAGGAACTGGCAATCAGTGTGAGTAGACGTGGGTGGGCTCTGAGGCTCACTTGATGCTGTGTGTGAGTGCTCGTGGATGTGAGTGTGGATGAGGTGCTTGAAATCTTATATTATAAAAGTCTCACACAATGTGCTTACACTTTCCTTTTGATTTCTTTCTTCCTAAATTGACCAGTATCATTCCACTAATTGCTGATAGGATAGACAACATGTAGGTATTGCATTTGATTATAGGTAATGGCTGATAGTAACCATGAGTTGATATTCAGGAAAATGCCCATTTTGGTAATAGAAGCAAGTCTCTTA